GCTCTACCCCAGAGAAGAGTTGACTTTATTCTTTCCTCAGGCACAAACCTTTATCCACATACAGTTTTTCTGAAGTCCTTTGTTGAATCTGGTCCAGCTCCCAGGCAGGAGTGCTCTGTATGGCCTACTACTAGGTGTTTGTCACACTGCACTATAATGGTCATGTTTTTCTACTTCCTTTTCCAAACAGAGCTATGCAGAGCTATTCCTGAGACCTTTTCTCTTTTCCCTGAAGAAATGCTACCATGCTTTCTCGAGTAGGAGTCTTTGGAAGGGTAGTGGACATGGATCTCACCTCACGTGACTTAGGACTAGTAGGCATTCAGAAAATGACTTCCTGATTTTTAGGCTGAGTGGTCTACTCAATAAATTGGAGCAGATCTTAGCTTTTTTCCTCTGTATTGCTGCTATTACTCTGCCCATTCTCCTGTGTTTGGTTAGTTGCTTGTGTGGTTTCTGCACTGCCAGCCTGGTTGCTTCACCTGCTTCTGCTACTACTCCCCTTGCTTGACTGCTTTTCATGGAATCCAGTATCCCCCAAAATTCACTTTAAAGTAAAGCCAAATCATGGGAGACATCCGAAGGTTTTAACCCTATAGAAGCAGCAAGAAACCTAGGCAGCGGCCAGATCTGGTAGACGTAGGCGGAGTTTGCCAGTACTGAGGGTCTGAAGACCTGGGGCCTGACCTTGTGTGTCTCCTCTTGCTTGGATGACCTTGAGCAGTTTACTTAGTGCAGTTACTTCCCTAATAAACCATGCAAGTATACACGTGAACATATTAGCTAAAATTTGTCCTGTTTTTCAGAAAGTCCTTTTAATTTCCATATGGAAAAATGAACTGTGGTTGAAACACACATAAATAATCTAGGGACACATCTCCTTAAAGACATACTACTTGTGTTTAAGAACCGTGACCATTTGGGACCAGCAGTTAGCGTAATGGCTATGTTGCTGAACTCCCATATAGTCGACTATGGTTCAAGTCCCAGACCTGGAGGCTTCAAATAAGGCCGGTCGCATGTGCGTGTGTGCCCAAGACACTGAGAAGAGCATGGAGGAGGAGGGATTGCGGTGTGGCCATCCCCCTGGGGAGTGATTTCTCGCTTTCTGTCTCTCTTTGTCTTTCTGGCAAGCGCAGGTGCCCTATACCAAAGACCTAAAAAAAAAAAAGAAAAAAAAAGAACCATGACCATTTTAAAACAAGAAACTAAATTTTAGTAAAATTTCCATATATTAGTTCCTGCTAATTCTGATAAATAAGAGCTTTGCTATTCACCTTTGCAGCATTTATGCAGAGAAAGGGTATAAATTACTGCTACTGGGATTATACAGGAAAGTTTTACCTGTTTCAGAGAATAAATTGATTTTAATTCTTAAAATTTGTCTTTTTTCTACACGTGGTATAGTAATTATCCATTAATTCATCCCCTGAAACTATTCTCATCCTACTCTATTTGCTATATTTTCTAGTCACTGTTGCTGTTCTCTGTGCTGGGTAAAAAAGCTGTTTTTCTTCTTAAACCTGTTGTTGGTCTTGCCATCAGTATCTTCCCCCAGCACTCACCCATGTCATCCAAATGGGTAACATGATGTATTGAGAGGATAGTGCTGTGACAAAACGGTTGACAGACTGAGTTAGAAGCGGCTTTGCAAATAGGACTCGCGATGACCGCAGCTGTCATGGCATGCAGTGTATTTAGGACCCCCGTCATTGCAGTGCTCAATCATCAGTGCTTCTTCTCCCCACTTTAGTCTGCCATGTCAAAAAATTGCATCAAGCTTTTGTGTGAAGATCCCGTTTTTGCAGAATATATTAAGTGTATCCTAATGGACGAAAGAACTTTTCTAAACAACAACATAGTCTACACGTTCATGACACATTTCCTTCTAAAGGTATGTAGTAGTTTGGAAACCTCATGTGTCACTTCTTAGTTCTTGCTTACATTGTCATTGTGTCGGTCTTTTGGAGATTTTTTTTTTAATCATCTTTTTCAGGTTCAAAGTCAAGTGTTTTCTGAAGCAAATTGTGCCAATCTGATCAGCACCCTTATTACAAACTTGATAAATCAGTATCAGAACCTACAGTCTGATTTCACCAATCGAGTTGAAATATCCAAAGCAAGTGCTTCTTTAAATGGGGTAAGAACTATACAAAAGAGTAGGCAGAAATTTCCCTTACTCTACTTTAGGCTTTTGTATCATTATACTATCATAACTTCCTGTCTAAATCTGTCATATATGATGAAAAAGATTTTTTCAAATGCATATGTCTTGTATGTATGCAGCACACACCTGTCTCCTTAGAAGATGTGAGCTGCTGCCACTGAATGCTAATGGCTCTAAGGAATATTCTCTCTACGTTGTTCTTGGAAGCATTACTTGAGGTGTTTCTGTTATTGCTTATGGCTCCTAAGTGACTGAAACAATCAGGTTAAAGATCTGATTATAAAGACAGTGGAAACTTGGGAATTTAGTTGCCTTGTGTAAATCCCATCACAGCCCTGTCAAAGAATAACGGGACATCCAGGAAAGGTGCTAGAACCTCACCCAGCAGCAGCCCACCCCGTGACAAGGTGTATACATGCCAGCATTCATGACAAGGCTAAGACAGACCTTCCTGCTGGGGACATAGACCATGATTTTGAGAAACTGATTTTTACTAAGACTGAATTTGCTCATAGATCAATGTTTGTTTTTAAAATTCCTATGTAAATCTGCCTAAGTTCTATTATTGATCTTCTTTTGTTGTTCCTTTTCTATTTTCAGAAAACACTATTTGATTCTTTGGTCTGATTTATTTGTTGAAGACATAAAATGGTTTTTATTGACTTAGAACTGAAAAAATAACAGTAGTATCCTAATGCTGTCTTTCTGGTGTTAGCATTCTTCTAAAATTGCCAGAGAACGCAAGCTGGAGTCCTAGAAAAGTAAACATCTGCATGTAACTGTAAACACGTGTCAGAATGTGGGTAGAATGTGAAATGTTACTGTCTGGGTTTTCATAGGATCTGAGGGCACTTGCTTTGCTCCTGTCGGTACACACTCCCAAACAGTTAAACCCAGCTCTGATTCCAACTCTACAAGAACTTTTAAGCAAATGCAGGACTTGTCTGCAACAGAGAAACTCACTCCAAGAGCAAGAAGCCAAAGAAAGAAAAACTAAAGGTTAGCTTTATGGACTGTGGGGGGCTGGGGAGAAGAACACACTTGATACACTTGACTTTATTTATTATTGCCAGAGGGTGCACACACTCACCAGAGACAGAAAACACCCCCCAGTGGGGCATGGTCATGCCTCAGTCGTTCCTCCATTTTTCCATCCTGTTGGGATTTGGGGCATGTGCATGCACCCAGCATGTTTTCAAACTGCCAGACCTGGGATTAAAACTGCAGGCAGCCATGTGGGACCTGTTTAACTGCTGCACAATGGGGCCACCGGGTACACCTGTCTGTCCAGTTGGATCTCCTAAATATAAATGCTAAAAAACAAAGCAGCTCCTACAGCCATCCCTAAATGTAATCTTTTTTTTTTTATTTTTCGAGAAGTTTTCGCTATAGGGCACGTGCACTCACCAGACAGACAGAGAGAGACATAGAGACAGAAAGTGAGAAATCACCCCCCGGGGGGATGGTCACACCATTCTCCTCTCGGGATCTTGGGCACGTACACACATGCGCTCGGCGTGAGTTTTAAGCCACCGGGTCTAGGACACGAACCGCAGTCAACTACGTGGGAGTCCAGTGACATAGCCATTACGCTAACTGTTGGTTCCCCCTAAATGTAATCTTAATGACTCCTTTTAGAGAAGTCTCAGAGTTTGATGTTTATTTTCCCAGATGATGAAGGGGCGACTCCTGTTAAAAGAAGGCGTGTCAGCAGTGATGAGGAGCATACTGGCGAGAGCTGCATCAATGACATGAAAACGGAAACCAGGGAGGTACTGACCCCAACCAGCACTTCAGACAATGAGACAAGAGACTCCTCCATTATCGATCCAGGAACTGAGCAAGATCTTCCTTCCCCTGAAAATAGTTCTGTGAAAGAATACCGAATGGAAGTTCCATCTTCGTTTTCAGAAGACATGTCAAGTATCAGGTCACAGCATGCAGAGGAACAGTCCAGCAACGGTAGGTTTGAAGATTGTAAAGAATTGAAAGACCTCCACTGTCCCAAGGATTCTACCCTAGCTGAGGAAGAGTCTGAGTTCCCTTCTACTTCTATCTCTGCAGTTCTGTCTGACTTAGCTGACTTGAGAAGCTGTGATGGTCAAGCTTTGCCCTCCCAGGACCCTGAGGCTGCTTTATCACTCAGCTGTGGCCATTCCAGAGGACTCTTTAGTCACATGCAGCAACATGACATTTTAGACACCCTGTGTAGGACCATTGAATCTACAATCCACGTGGTCACAAGGATATCTGGCAAAGGAAACCAAGCTGCTTCTTGACATTAGATGTAGCATGTCTGCTTTTAAGTCCCTCCCCCACCCCCACCTCCAAAACTGTTTGTATAAGTTTTGCTTATTTGTTTTTGTGCTTCAGTTTGTCCAGTGCTCTCTGCTTGAATGGCAAGATAGATTTAATAGGCTTAATTCTTGGTCAGGCAGAATTCCAGATGAAAAACCTTGCATCCTCAGTCTACTTTTTAAGGGCAATCAGATAATGGATGTGTTTCATGTAATTAAGAGTTCGCTGTAGTGGCTTTCATTTGACATGGCTGTCTGGGAGGAACAGGGGGCCCTGGCCCTGTACCATGTAATTTAAACTTACAGCATTTTTACTGTGTATAATATGGTGTCCTCTGTGCCAGTTTTGTACCTTATAATAGAGGCAGATTGCCTCCAATCGCTGTGGTTCTTATTATCAAAATTAAGTTTACTTGTATACGGAACAACCACAAGAAATTTGATTCTATAAAGAATCCTCTAGCTGTGGCCTGGCAGTATATAAATGGTGCTTTATTTAACAGAATACCTGTGGAGGAAATAAAGCACACTTGATGTAAAAATAATTGTTTTATTTTTATTGACATGACTGATTGCTATTCTGTGCACTTAATTAAACTGATTGTGATGACTTTTCATTTGTTTACATACGTTGCTTCGGTCTTCTCAGACGCAAGTAATGGGAGAAGCACTTACAGTCTTATCTGTTATGTTCCATTTCACTAGAAGTGTTGGTGGCAGTCGAGAGTTAACTCCTCTACATCAGCTTTCGTCCTGCCCACCCAGAGTGTGGAAGTGCTGCAAGGCCAGCCAGGGAGGGCAGAGCACGGGCACGATGTAGCCGACCCTGTCTCACTCCGTCCTGCTCTGAAGGCAGCATGCCTGTTTCACTAAGAGCTACACACTTTAAGAACTTAAAAATTGAAATAAAGGAATAATATCAACATGTCATTTTTTTCTCTTCTTGAACTAAAAGCACAGCTCAAAGCTCACTAGGACAAACTTGAGCTTGGGAAGCTTCAGCTATCTGCTGAGGGACTCGAGGTATTTCCTGAGGAGCAGCTACCCAAGGTGAGGTCAGGACCTGTGCGCGAGCTGCTTGCTTCTCCACCTCCGTGCAGAGTCTAGGTACAGCAGGGTCTGTGTTTAAATTCTGTATAAGTTCATGGATTTCACCCATTGGAAACTAAGTTTTGTTTTCTTTTTTTTAAAAGAAAGGCTAGTGAAGAGGTAAACATGACACTTTCTGCTTACAAAACAGTAACGTCCTTATAAAAGGTGACTAGTTTAACTATTTGGGGTGGTCAGGTGGAGTAAACCTTTTATTTCTTCAAAATGCTGCTTCTGCCAGCAGAATTTCATGTTCTCTTCTTTACATACTGGAACTCCTTTACAGTCCAACTGTAATTCCGTTTGCCCTAGCGTAGGCACAAAATTCAGTGCAACTGTTGCATAGTGTTCTGAAAGGGAAAAAAGGAAACATTACTGCACTGTGAAAGAAAAACTCATATAATACTTCTTGCTTTTCATAATGAAAAGCTTTAGTGTTATTGGACCTTTATACACTGGGGGCACTTAGGACATACCTTCTGGCCAGTTCCTGTATCTCCATTTCATGACGATCTTTTTATTTGTTAACTGAAAACAAAGAGATTGCACTGAAAACACCTTTTACAAACCCACAACACAGAAAAACAAATCCTTTCCTTAAAACCCATAAGGACTAGAAGAAGCAGTGACTGACATACAGTCCGGTCTTCCAGATTCCATGCTGACATCACTGGTAACTGTCTTTGCTGCCAGAATGTCTCAGAGCAGTAATGTGAAGGAGAACTGCACAGTACAGCACAGACATTAGGGTGAGGAGTTGACCTGGCAATGCAGACAGACCCTTGGGATACAGGCAGAACTTTATGGATGCAAACCTGGCACGTCTACTCTGGGGGGCTGGGGGGAGAATAAGGCTTGATGTTAGAAGCATGAGCAATTACTGTGAAATCAAGGCGTCAGCGTTATCATTACTTAGTATACTTTTCCATGCATAATATGTGTAACATTTTTAATTTGCTCTACAACCAGCTTGATGAAAGTTATCGAGATTCTGTGAGCTCAGCCAGAACCCTAAAGCAACTGAAATACAGCATGGTTAGGAAGAGCGCTGTTAACCAAAGTAAGAGCAAGTCCCAGCTTATTCTTTTACCTCTGCAGTTACTTACCAATTCTATGTATTCGCCGGTAATGTTCCCATCAAACATCTGGAACTTCCCCCCCTTTTCAGCTTCTAACACAGCAGGGGATTTTGAAAATCTCTGCACCAACTAAGCAAGCAAAACACAGTGGGCGTGTTATCCTGGCACACACTACCATCTTTATACCCTAAGTGTAAAGTCCATAACGGAACAGTTACTATGGGTTGGGTCTAGTTTTTAATCCTGGACACATTATTTATTTATTTATTTATTTTTGGAGAGATTTATTTATTTTGGGGGAGTTTTTTTGCTATAGGGCATGTGTGCTTGTCAGATAGAGACAGAAAGTGAGAAATCACCCTCAAGGGACAGCCACACTGCAATCCCTTCTCCATTCTCTCAGGATCTTGGGCACACATACACATGTGCCTGGCATGAGATTTGGGTCATCAGGTCCAAGACTTGAACTTCAGTCAACCACATGGGAGTTCAGCCATGTAGCCATTACGCCATCTGCTGATCCCCACACAAGCTTTTACTTACAGAAAATAAAAGACACAAACCTTCTCCTTCCAGGGAGAGAAAAATCAAAGTATTCCCTAAATACAGATAAAGTCTCCCCATATACCCAACTGTAATTCCGTTTGCCCTAGCGTAGGCACAAAATTCAGTGCAACTGTTGCATAGTGTTCTGAAAGGGAAAAAAGGAAACATTACTGCACTGTGAAAGAAAAACTCATATAATACTTCTTGCTTTTCATAATGAAAAGCTTTAGTGTTATTGGACCTTTATACACTGGGGGCACTTAGGACATACCTTCTGGCCAGTTCCTGTATCTCCATTTCATGACGATCTTTTTATTTGTTAACTGAAAACAAAGAGATTGCACTGAAAACACCTTTTACAAACCCACAACACAGAAAAACAAATCCTTTCCTTAAAACCCATAAGGACTAGAAGAAGCAGTGACTGACATACAGTCCGGTCTTCCAGATTCCATGCTGACATCACTGGTAACTGTCTTTGCTGCCAGAATGTCTCAGAGCAGTAATGTGAAGGAGAACTGCACAGTACAGCACAGACATTAGGGTGAGGAGTTGACCTGGCAATGCAGACAGACCCTTGGGATACAGGCAGAACTTTATGGATGCAAACCTGGCACGTCTACTCTGGGGGGCTGGGGGGAGAATAAGGCTTGATGTTAGAAGCATGAGCAATTACTGTGAAATCAAGGCGTCAGCGTTATCATTACTTAGTATACTTTTCCATGCATAATATGTGTAACATTTTTAATTTGCTCTACAACCAGCTTGATGAAAGTTATCGAGATTCTGTGAGCTCAGCCAGAACCCTAAAGCAACTGAAATACAGCATGGTTAGGAAGAGCGCTGTTAACCAAAGTAAGAGCAAGTCCCAGCTTATTCTTTTACCTCTGCAGTTACTTACCAATTCTATGTATTCGCCGGTAATGTTCCCATCAAACATCTGGAACTTCCCCCCCTTTTCAGCTTCTAACACAGCAGGGGATTTTGAAAATCTCTGCACCAACTAAGCAAGCAAAACACAGTGGGCGTGTTATCCTGGCACACACTACCATCTTTATACCCTAAGTGTAAAGTCCATAACGGAACAGTTACTATGGGTTGGGTCTAGTTTTTAATCCTGGACACATTATTTATTTATTTATTTATTTTTGGAGAGATTTATTTATTTTGGGGGAGTTTTTTTGCTATAGGGCATGTGTGCTTGTCAGATAGAGACAGAAAGTGAGAAATCACCCTCAAGGGACAGCCACACTGCAATCCCTTCTCCATTCTCTCAGGATCTTGGGCACACATACACATGTGCCTGGCATGAGATTTGGGTCATCAGGTCCAAGACTTGAACTTCAGTCAACCACATGGGAGTTCAGCCATGTAGCCATTACGCCATCTGCTGATCCCCACACAAGCTTTTACTTACAGAAAATAAAAGACACAAACCTTCTCCTTCCAGGGAGAGAAAAATCAAAGTATTCCCTAAATACAGATAAAGTCTCCCCATATACCCATCTTTCCCCCAAATTATTCAGAAGCCATCTTCGTATGTTTCCATCACCACCATCCTAGATCCTGTGACTCAGAAAAACAGCCACCAGGGAAACAACACCCAGCTCCTGCTCCCATTTTCTCCTGTCAGTCAGCACTTACGATGTGAGCTTAGGGAGCTACTTACCTCTTTCACTGTGAAGATGCTGTACAGCTGCTCTACCGTTGTATCAAACAGTTCCGTCAAGTGCAGAGCCACCGTGGGAATCCTTACACCCAGCGCCACTGGAGAGGTCTGAACCTCAAGAAGAGGATCCAGAGGATAATTAGCATACCAAGACAAAGGTGCTCTGACTTAAGTCAGTTTCCCCAAACACCAAAATGTCCTAAATTCCCCACTGTCCTTTCTTGACACACACATGCAACCAGCATAAAAAGACTTTTTAGGGGACCACCAGTTGGCGTAATGGCTATGTTGCTGGACTCCCATGTAGTCAACCATGGTTCAAGTCCAGGATCTGGTGGCTTAAACTCACAATGGACGCGTGTGTGTGCGTGCCCAAGATCCCGAGAGGAGAATGGAGGAGAAAGGATTGCGGCATCGCCACTCCCCCTGGGGGGGGGGTGATTTCTCGCTTTCTGTCTGTCTTTCCAGTGAGCACACAAGCCCTATAGCCAAAACCTCTCCAAAAAAGAGTCTTGAATTGGATTTGTTACTTTCCACACAAAAAGGCCCATTTGTATGTTACTTTCCATCAAGAATAAAAGTCTCAGGCCAAGCGCATGGCCTAGTGGGTAAGGAAGCCAGATCACACATGATCAGTTGCAGTTTGAATCCCAGCCCTGGCAGCTTGGAAAAACACGGGCATGTGTACATGCATGCCCCAGATCCTGAGGGATTGCTGCATGTACTTCCTGTCTCTGGCAAGTGCAAGAAAAATCATTTTATCACTTCCACAACAAAATGGCAGTTATTTTTTAAGGATTTTGTCATAGGGTGTGTGCACTTGCTGGAGACAGCGACAGTGAGAGAGAAGGTGAGAAATCACCGAGGGGGGATGGCTACACCACAATCCCTTCTCCTTGGATTTTGGGAATGCACACATGTACCTGGCATATCTTAAATTATGGTCAGCCATGGGGGCGGGGAGGGTCCAGTGCCTTTAACCACTACACCATGTCACCTGCTGGCCCCCAAAATGACAGGGGAAGCAAGGGTGGATTAACTCCCCCCTCTGCTATGCTTCACAGTTCTTCAGAGAGCCCATCTGTGCTTGGACTCAAACTCAGCACTTCCTTTTCCTTCTCCCCACACTTTGGCCACCAAAGGTCATACCTGCAAGGTATTCTCACTCAGTTTCCTCTTAACAGTGAACTCCTGGGTTGCAGTGGCTTTCGTTGGTAAAATCATTCCAGTTGTAAATTCTACAAAAAATTGTAGGAAATGCTTTTAATAAAGACCTTTTTTTAAATACAAAGACAAGGTAGAGAACCCAAAATATATAAGAACCTGAAAGAACTGTAATTGTCCAAAGAATTCCTTTAAGACTTTTAAGACGATGTATTTACACATAAAACTGGTGATAACAATGAGTTTCACAACAAATGCGTTTTTTGTTGTTGTTGTAGGTTTTGCAATAGGTTTTGTACATAGCTAGCCAGAATGAGATAATGAGAGGGAAAGTGAGAAAACACCCTCTAGATTTTGGGGCACACACAGGTGCCCAGTGTGATTTTTTCAAGCCTCCAGGTCCAGGACTCAAAACTGTGGTTGACCATTTGGGAGTGGAGCACCTTAACTACCATGCCACCTGCTGGCCCCTATTCTTTTACTTTCACATGTCTTAACTTTTATCAAGTTCTTGATAAAACAGCAACATTTTCAAAATTTCTTTGCCAAATATCTATGTTTTATACAAGTTGGTACTAGTTGTGTGGCTTTTAACACCAGTCCCTTTCTCAGGCTTCACACCCCTCACAGCTGGTCCTCCCAGCCTAAGAGCCAGCCACTGTATGGTCTGGTGCAGAGTGGCAACCCCAAACCCACCTGTGCCCAACTCCTAGGTACCCAGGTGGCAAGGTCCAAGATGAGGTGTAGGATGAGGTGCAGAGACCCAGTCTCTGCTCTCATCTTGCCTGACTGGTAACTTCTTTAATTTAGGGAAGAAGACAACCACCTCATTTCCATGCAGCACAGGGATTACCTAGGTATATTTCAACTGCACCTCTGCCACCTGCTGTCACTTTCATTCATTCACTCACTTGTAAAAATGTATTAAGCACCTACTATATGCCAGGCATTGTGCTAGATGCTGGAGATACAGCAATGAACAAGATAGATACCTTCTATATTCTCAGGGAGCTTACAGTCTAGCATGAAAGACAGACATTAAGCAAGTAATAAACACCTGACTAGATCGTTTTTATTCCAGAGAACTGCTGTCAACAATTCAAAAAGTTCAAGCTTGTGTACAATACTGGTGATCACTAATTATGGTCTTACCCTGTGACCAGCCCTCAACCACCACACTGTAACTTACTCTGCAGTATGGAGACCTCAGCCCAACCTGGGAATCCAGGCCACTGTGCAAAGCATAACTTGGGTCAATAGAAAAGGGACCCTCTGGTTCACAACGGATGCCTTCTTTACCCGTCTTAAGTGCCTTCAGGTAATCTCCAAGAGCTTCCCTGACCTTGGCGGTGCCTGCGGTTTTCATAAGATCCTTCAGTAAATCCCCTTCTCCTTTCTTTTTACTCACGTTCACCTACAAATCAGAAAAATACAAGCCTAAGAAAACCTGGTTTGGTATGTTCTTCCAACACTGCCACATGGATGAGGTGGTCAGAGAGGGGAAGAAATGGATGTGAAGAGATGTGACAGCTTTCTTCATAACGCTAGAGAGGAGTACAGGGGTATTTTTCTTTGTTTTTAGTTTTTGCTGCAGGGAGAGCAGAGAGGGGAAGTGAGAAATCACCCCCCAGTGGGGATGGCCAAGCCACAATCCCTTCTCCAGTCTCCTCTCAGGATTCCAGGCATGCATGCACACCTGGTGTAATCTTTCAAGCTGCAAGATCCAAAACTTGAACCACAAAGTCAGCCAAGTGGGATCTTAACCACTTCGACCACATCACCTGCCGGCCCCAGAGTAAGGGTCCACTAGGGAGTTGATGCCCAGATTGTCAAGAACTCCAAAGAATGTGAACCTGTTGATTTGCATACAAAATTGTGCGTGTGTTTGTGTGCATGCACCTATGCGAATTATATTGCTGGTAAGGTCCGTGGCTGTGATGGAGGTCTAGAAAGGTGCTCTCCAGTGTGGGGGCCACTGGCCCCAGGTGGCCACTAAGCGGAACTGAGATGTGCTGTGAGTGTTAAAAAATACACACCAGGCTCTGAAGACAGTGCAAAGAATGTAAAAATGCCTCCTTCGTAATTTTTATATTAATTGCATGTTAAAATAGTATTTTCTCTATGCTGGGTTAAATAAAATGTGTTATTAAAATTAATTTCCCGTTTCTTTTTAACTTGCTTAATATGGGTACTAGAAAAATTTTAACATTTATAATGCATATGTGCTTTGCATTATATTTATACTGAACAGCACTGGTCTAGAATCCCGCAGCCACTGTCAGGAAAATCAAGTTTCCATATATCCTGACTGTGGGCTATGCTTTTTAGGCAGGGAGAACTGGAAAAGGCAGAGGAAGAGTCAGGGGCGGGTCTCAGGACAGGAGGTAATTGGCTGGAATTCATCTAGGGTCTCCATGACTCCGCTGAGCTGGGCCAGATCTCAGACCCCAGCTGGAATCTAGGAGTTTGTTCTGCAGCACTGCTGAGGGATTAAACCTGAAAGGCCTGTGTGAGACGCTCCTGCAAAGCTGCTCGCTGATGGGTCTCCCTATAGCCAAGCACACGTTGGCCTGAGACTAGCAACCACACGCCTGAAGGTATGTGTGACAGCCCCCCCCCCCAGCAGTCACAACCTTCAACAAAGGTGAAGTGCGAACATGCAGCTCAGTGTGACTGGCTTTTCTCTCAGAAAGCATCCACGTTAAATGCATTCACAAAGCAGAAAGACTCTTGGTCAGACCATCTTGGTCTGGAAAACAGCTGCTGTACAAAGTCTCACCCCAGGACCAAGCAGGCAGCGTGAGGAGCGCACTAACTGCAAGCC